GTTGTTGAAGGAATAAAAGGCAGGCTGATCTGAAAATAATTCCTATCCCAGAAAATTCCAAGATTTCAATATTATTCTGCCTCCTTTTCTTCCTCTATTTCCCTTTTGGTCTTGAGTGAGCAGGTACGCTGGAGATGCTTTGCCTCTGCAGCAGAGCTGGCTCTGTGTTCACATTTCCTACTGTTCGTTTCCACCCGGAGGTGCAGAGCCCTGGAAATAGGTGTGCTGGATCAAGGCAGGCAACGAGCTCATCATGACCATAAGAAAGGATAAACCAGATGCACTCCACACAGAAGCTTGGCAAGCAAGTGCAGATGTACCACATAAAGTACTTCCAAGGTAAATATTGTCTGCATAGGGTGGATTCTAATATTTCAGCCATGTTTTGTCATAATCACCTGACCTTGAAATCATACATTGAACTGAATACAAGATTTCTCTTCAGCTTCCTTCCTTTCCTTCACTCTGACCAATAAAGACAAGAATCATATACCTCATTCTCTCTATATATAAATATTTTATTCTGGGTAGGTGGTGGTGTAAAATACAAAGACAACGAATTTCCATCCACTTCCCATGGCCACACATTGCAACATGTGCTAAACAAGAGATCCTTCCATGGAAATGTGCCTCCTCGATTTACAAATAGCAGAATGTGGTCACCTTCAGAGTAAAGCTAACAAAGAGAAGTGACAATCACTGCTACATTTCTGAACTTTAAACAGTGATATTTTATGATACGAGAAAGAAAAAAAAAGTCTGAGAACTCGAGTTAAAACTTTAAAAGTAAATAGCATTTCAGGCGAAACCTCAAAGTGCCCTCTTCTGGCAGCTGGCTCTAAGTGACAGCCCATTTGAAATACATCCTAAACCCGCAGCACTAACTCTCTGACTAAAGGAAAGTTCTTTAAACACAAATTTTTTATTATGGAATTGTCTTTATTAGCTATAGAGCAAGGGTATGAAACTGTTAATATACTTTTCTAGAACAAGAAACATTGATCTGTTAAAAGTTACTTTAAAGCAAGTGTAACTAAACAGTTCATACTCATAAAATAACGTTTGGGGTTTTTTTCCCCAAAAAAGCACGTACTCAAGATTTGTATTCATTTCATGGTATCATTAGTATCGAATAATATTAATGTTATTAATTTGCAACAGTGTTGATGCAAATCCTCACTGCAGTACTTATTGCTTATTATTATTGACATCACTTTTTATAGATCAGCCTTAGGAAACAAAATGGTTTTTGTTTTAGTTAAACAAGCACAAAAAATGCGGCAGGTAAAGATTGCATTAGAAAAATAAACCTGAACCTGCTGTTTACTTCTCGGTTTGGTGTTGCAATATAAAACACCCATTCATTGTCCAACCTTTCCTAAGTACTTTCATCAGTGTAAGAGTTGTAATATATTTCATTTGTTTAATTACATATTTTGTTTCTATAGCAACTAGAAAATGTCTACTCCATTTCTGTTCCTTCCTAAGTCTTTACACACCAATTTTCTTTCACGATACAGCAGCAAAAGATAATCCCTCTTTAGAACTCCGGATACTATCTGTTCTTTCCAAATATCCCTTAATTAGCATGCATTAGGATTAAAACCAGTTGTAGTGCTGCCACAACGAAAAGAAACTGAGTAAAAAAACCCTTACAGGATCTAGACAGAAAATTCTGTAACTCCCGTTGAGCAACTTCAGCATAACTGTGCTGCCGCCTGCAGGCTCCCCGCAGCATGGGTCTCCACAGCGCAGGAGCAAGCGTACCCCCAGCACCCCCCCATGTCCATGGAGGGAAGGCAGATTTAATATTCCTACTCCTGCTAACTGATTCAGATTGATTTTGCTTATAAGGAAAGGAGGATCCACTAATGATGCTCTGTTCAAAGAAATACTTACTGCCGATTATTTTCATTTGCGTTGCCCTGTTCCTGCTTGCTGCTGATCATGGAGACAGTGGTGACGTCTGAAGATTTTACTATCGAACTGATGTGGTAAAAACCCAAAAAGGCTGCACATCCCACTGCTGCCAACCACCTCTTCAACACCGGGTGCTTTCTGTGTTGTCCTATTGCTCAAAGAAATTCAAAACCATAACCCAGATCTTTAAAAAAATCTAGCAAGTCAGATCTTGCAGTAAGTCATGTCTGTAGCTAAAGTGTCTGAAAACACTGGTTCAGGAGAATTTGGAGATTACTCCCTTACTAAGTGACCAGAGTCCTATACATTTGTATTCTTTCATACACAGAAACCATACGGGAAGAGCAATATTGACACTTTTAAAAGCTTGTAAATGCCAAATACAAAGTTTGCCTACAGAGACCGTTTTTGAACCCATTGCCATGTCAAACAATACTTACTTGGAAAAATCATACAGTACTTTTTCCTATCAGAAGTTGTCTCTGTCAATGTCCAGGGCAACTAGGGCTAAGTTACTCATCTTACTTTTTTTTTTTTTTTTAAATGCTGGTGTTTGACATAAACTTCCTCACCTCAATTTATTCCACTTACACCTCCAATCTTTATTCTGGAGCCGGAATTTCTTCAATATTGTATTCAGCACCGCACCTAACTTCAAGTCCTCTGCCTGCTAGCAAATCTCACTTTCAGCATTCCAACTCTTTATACAAGTTGTAGACCTCATTCCTAGAAATCCAAGAGCCAGCACACCAAAACAAGTGTCAGCTCAGCACATTACTTTTCAGCTTTCCCGTCTGGCAGTTCCAGAAAAAAACAGAAATGAGTCTTAAATGTCAGAAGTCACATCTGTTCCATCAAGACCAGATTTTCCGTACAGAGAAATAAAAGCCATGTAAGTAGATTTAGGCTAGCATTTCCAGGAAATATCAGGCTTACCAATATACATACTGTACTTTTCATTAAATCGTAGACTGCAAATCCCATGCTGATTTACCGCAGACGTACTGTGCAGCTGACCTAGACATATGCTGCAGAAATACTGCAGTATTTGCAGACATCAGGCAAGTTACCATGCTACCTGGAGGTACACGTCACCCAGAGCACCCTGACTGTCAGACCTCTGAGGTACCTTAGGCACCCAAGGTAAAATATTGGCTATTCGGTCTAATTGCAAGAGTAACTATGCTCCCGACCGAGACGGGCCTTGTAAAAAACAATCAAGTGCCCTTAGAGCAGAGCTTATGCTGCCACTTGTAAAAGGGTGTTTGGACAGGGCTGCCATATGCAGAAGCAGAAGGAAGCATGTCCCATTTAGCTACCACGAGGAACAGTGAAAGGCTCCGACAAACCTGATATGGGTAAAAGCACTGAAGATTTTAGCTATTTAAATGCGAAGTCTATTGAACACAGTTTTTCTCCCTACCTCTTCCCCTTGTCCTCAAAAAAAAAGATTAAAAAAGCAGCTCTTCTCACAGTAATAATTGAAGAATTTCTCCAGGAGACTGGGAGCAGTATTAGTACTTCTCTCTTTTGGTAAAAGCCAAAACCTATTTTTGTCTTACCACTTCAAAGACAGAAAGACAAACAAAATATCAAAGAAAAAAACCTACCCAGAACAAATTGCACCTGTTGGTGGAAGACAGCATAGATTTTCAAAATGAGTGAAAATTTTATTACCTAATTGTCACTTGCCACTTGATGGGGGTGGTGAGCTAGTTATGCAGGCCTTGGCTTACAAATATAAAACAAGATGCTCCAAGGACTATAAACAGCCAATCTTTCATCATTTTAAAACTAACACAGCGCAACAAAGTGCCAAAAATCCAAGTGTATCTGGAAAGTTTAAGAGCTGCTTGTTACAAGACACCGCAGCTAAATTCCACATGATACTCATGCATTAAGTGTTGTCAGGTTAAATCAATCAATCACATTTCAACTAAATATACCAGATACTTCATTATGGGAAAGAGGAGCAGATCAGCTTGCTCTGTGTGATTGGCAAACAACAAACTGCATCTCCTCTGAAATGTAACTATTGATATAGAAGCCTTTTCTATACATGTACATAAAGTTATTTTTGTCACTCAGTGCCTGTTACTCTTCATTTACTTCCCTTTTCACACATTGTATCTCAAGGAAAAAACAGTATACCCAACACCTTTCTCCTTTACAGATCTTAATCCTACTTGTAGGTTAAAACAATGCTACCGAGGCTTGAAAAGCTTTACTGCAGCAGTGTAAAAGATAAAACAAATGGGCAACAGGCTAACAACGTCTGTACTTTAAAGGACTAAAATCTGTGGAAGTCACCTCTCACATTCATGATGGAGTGAGCAAATCATTAACTGTTCAAATATTGAAAAGATATATAGCATGTGCCAAATATAATTTGTCTATGTATGAAACAATTAACCTATTATAAAATAAGACCAACTGCATACCTTTCCAATGTCATACACAGAAGCAATTACATGTAAAAAGCAAAGTCACAGCTCAGTTTCTTGGGACTTCTAGTACCAGAACAGGTAGATCCCGGTTGTTTGACCATGAACCCATACTGCTATGCTTATTACCTGTCATGTCGATATGAATGATGTTTATTCTGAACAAAGAAGCCACAGTCACCAAGTGTCAGCCAAACTGCAGAACTGCAAAGTTCTGCACCCAAGGAGATCAGATTAGAACCAGCTTTAGAAATAATCAATTGCAGCTAGAGAGGTGCAGAATACAGGAAGGGACAGGGGTGAACCACAGAAACAGTTTAGGGTGCCCAGCATGCCCTAAATACAAATGATTTCAAGCACGTCAGTAGCTAAGATGTTCTCAACAGCGCTTACATTGGATTTATAAACAGCACAGAATAGTGCTTCCATAAAATATTACAGAAAAAAATTGTAAAAACAAACAAGCAAAATCTACACATAGAAACTCTCAAAATTCAAAAGAACAAAAGTGCAAGTCAAAGGTCTTTAAAAAGATTTAGGCCTTCTGAAAACTTATATAGATTTCCCTTTAGCATTTGGTACATCAGCAATTCCAACAAGACTAGAAAATCAAGGAGCAAAACAACACAAAAGATGTCCACTACCACAGATGATTTATTTATATACTAAGTTAAAAAATACAAATATTTTATTACAAAAACTTTATCAAACAACTGTATACATACAGTTCATATTGTTAAAAGCTAACATGTCAATTGATACTTTATGTACATTTGATTAATATTGTCATACAATTGTAGAAAAGCATCACTCAGCAGAAACTGATTTGGCATTTGGAAAGTAGTTACCACCCTGCACTAGAAGAGACAATTAATATAGGAATAAAACATTTATATGTTACAATAAAAATACTTATTTGCTGTGATCATTTAAAGCAAATGGATACTTTCTTTCTCCAAGAAGAATCACCATAAGTGGAGATTAAAGTGCACACAACCAACGCATTAATAATTCTTCAGTAATCCCATCTATCATTCTAGATGTTCTAAGCACATCACAGTTAACATCAAGAATTTAGGACTTTTCTCCGCGGCTTAAACAGCAAGATTTAAGAGAAATTCAGCTTTCTAAACTGCATGAAATAATTCTGGTGTACAATAAGATGAAGTAGGGTACAGAAATTTATAAAACAGTGTTTGGCGAAAAAGTCAGTGTAAATTTTCCCAGATATGTGATTTCTAGGGAAGTATTTTCCTTTTGAAAAAAAGATTCGTAATATTTCATACAACTGTGGACCAAACAAGCAGAGCATGCAACAGTATTTACATAACCATCCCCGCAGTCGTTCTTTGTGGGCTACATATAACACAGGTTGGAGCAACACTGTCTACTTTATGCATACATTTTGCTGGCAACCTGGGAAAGAAGAAAAAGAAAAAAAAAAAATCACCAATGATTTGTTTACTATAGAATAGGGTCCTAAACTAGAAAAGTGCTCCTCAAAAAATGTAGCTCAAAATATTGGCTTTGTCTTATTACAAGCAATATAGTAAACCTTACAAAATATAACACAGTCAGTACTAGCAGAGCTGTCGAGGGCAATAACTTTAATAAATCGGTCCACTTTGGATAAAAGAATGCTTATGCATGTTACAATCTTCCAAAAGCAACAGCTGAACAGGCTAAATTTACATCCACAAGAGAAGCATGACATGTTCACTGAAAACAAAGCGAGTTGCTGGTAGTTATGGTTATTATTTTTATCACATCAACTGGTCACCAATGGAAAAAAAAAACAACAATTTTTTTTTCTTTTCTTTTTTTTTTCATTTTACAAATATGAGGAGTTCTGAGCCATTATACTTGAGGAGTATACTTCATATCTTAGGCACTGGACCCAATTTAGAGGTAAAATGTCTGTCAACATGATTTAACATCCTCAGGTTTCAGAAGGCCATCCATATGAAGTTTACATACAGCACTACAAATACACATCAGATACTGCTGTAACTTTATAAGGAATACAAAACACTATTAAATACAACTTTCACCCCATGGCACATCAAGCATGGCAATACCACTTGTTTCATATCTGGTTAACAATGGTCAGTTGTGGTTATGCTTTATTGAATACTTTCCTTTCTGTAGCTGAGAAATATACAGCTTGGACTTGCTTCCATCCGGTCTTTTAAACCAAACTTCATCATGGTTAATCGTTGTAATTATGGCACTACAGAAAACGAGGCAAGAAGGGTCAGGGGAAGAAAACCAAGAATTTAGAAACCTTGTAACTTCAAAACTGCAGCTGTATCTCCATACAGTAAATGAAAGCACGCACGAGTTGTAAATGTTAAGCCAAAAGATACTGGCTCCATTGTCAGGACAGTTTTAACAGAAATCTTTCGTAACCACATGTGCCTTTAGTGAAGGTAGTTAATTTTTCAGCCATCTATCTATTTTCTTCTCCTATGAGAAATCCTCCAACATGTACAAATATTTTAATTATTTAAGAGAACAATAGCGACCCATGGAAATCACAATAGACTACCCATGGTAAAAAAACAGATCTGTTGGAAAACATATCCAGAAATTACTTTGAATACAAAGTATTTGGAAAAAAGTTAAACAGGCTGAAGTCCAAGATTTAAAGCAGAAGAAGTATTCAATTGTTAGCCATTATACCAAGATCATAAGAAATAAAGTCAAAGCCTGCTTTACTGAGTCATTCTTACATGAACACTGCTTTTATGCTCCTTGTGGCAAACCTTAATACAAATAGTGAACACGACCCCCTCCCCATGCCCCCTAGGAAAAAAATATTTTTTTAAAAAGTAGAATTGATGACCAAAAAAAGGGCTCAAAACCAGAGATTAAAAAAGTTAATGGAAGAAAGATCTATCACGTACCGAGTGTGACAAAACTTCCTCCAGGAAAGTCTTCAGCCTTAAAAGTTGCTGAAGTCTTGAAAGGCTGGGGAAGTTCCACTGTATGCTTGCCCTGTTAAGCATCAGCTTTTGGCTTTTGTCAGACACTAGATACTAAGATCTTTTTTTTGGCCCAGTATAACTGCTATGTTCTGCTAAACTAATTCACAACTTTTTAAATTTCAGAAAGAATATATACTTTACTAAACTACCTTCCTGTTTCAGCCCTGAACAAACACCAAAATGACCAAAATCTGTTCCTCTTCACCATACACAGGGAAGAAAAGAAACAGCCAGTTTTACAGAAAACTACTGCTATATGAAGCTAAAGTTAATTTTCCTGGGTAGCTGTGCATATTTAACCAACCCTGCACTTAGATCAATTTGCCCCATTCAGTAAAAGGTAAGATATACATTTAATTTTAAACATCGTTTTAAACATACCCACCTTTTAGAATTTACAAATACTATCCATATAGGGAAAATACAATTATATACCTTAAACATTCAACCAAATTTGCACTGAAATAATATTTAGACTGCCCCCAGGTAGAACCTTTGTTAAGGGAAGGAAATACTGTAAAAAGAGTTCCGACTCTTTTCTTTCAGAGCATTAATCAACTGCAAACAAAGCTTATTTTTAATGGTATAAAGTGGTTTTCCATAATGAAGTATTTTTAGGTGGACCAAAAGATCAAATTCTCAAAGGAACAAAACCCCGAAATGCTCCAAAAAAAACTTACTCAAAGGCTATTCAGAAACTAGCAAGATCCTAAATTGTTAGTGAGATGCTAACTTGACAAACATCTCATTACCTTCAGTGAAGTCCAACCTTTACCAGCCTCTCCCAGAAGTCCAGCGCTCAAACTTCTTTGATAATGCCTGTCTCCAAGGTGGACTAATAAATGTTACTGAGGTGGCAGTATTTCCAAATAAGCCTTACTCTTCAATGCCAACACCCTATCTATTGCTTAACGTGAATGTACAGAGCTGCATACACTGAGTAATGTTTACCTTGTAGGACATTCATCTTTCTTATCAATGCATATCGTCTGTCCACGTCCATACCACTCTCCATCATAATAGAGTCTTCCTTCTTCAGATCTAGCACTATGTAAATGCTTTTCTAATTTGACAGGTGCTAAAATAATCAATAAAAGTCATTTAATATTGACTTGGCAGAAGTCATTTAGATGTTTAAATACACTTTCATCAAGTTATTTACACAGAATACACACTTCTTCCATTATCAAAAGTAGCCTCTCTTAATAATTGCAAGAATGCAAGAAAACTGGAAGCCAGATACCTTTTTTATTTCCAGTCAGATAATTTAGAAGTTATATTTCCATTTTCAGATAGAAGCTACCTTCCCCACAACCTTCATATCTGTTATATGAATTCTCACAAATCAAATAATGCAATATAGAGAAGATTTCAAATGGCAGAACCTGAAACCTCTTCATCAGCACATTACCACAACATGCAAGTAGTAATGCATCGCTAAAGAAATGCACCACCTGCTTGCTTCCTGTCCCTTTTCCTCCTTACTCTCAAAGTATTTGATTTTACCTAGCATTAATGTTCTTCTCACCTTAGTGCCAAATATCAGTTGTCATTCCTTTCCCATAGCTCTACTTTTTCAGGGTTGTAGCTTGCAGTGAATGTAAACATCCTTTCAAACGCACCCATACGGTCCAGATAGTCTCAGTTTCCTGCCTCATCTTGTGTAAACACTGGCATAGCTTGCTAATATTAATTGGCGTAATACCCTTTTAGAAGTCTATGTGTGTGTTGATAATTTTCTAGAATTCAGGTGTCAACACAATGATCAGCAATCGAGCTACAAGTATCAGCACCTGAGAGCGCAGAAAGACAAAAGCCACATCTTCCAGCCACCTCACCCCACTCTCCTAAAAATAAATATGATCTGCCTAGATGCAGTTTGCGTCGCTGTACACAGCAAGTTCTGTCTTGTGAAACCAGACAATGTTTACTTACGTTCTGGCTTTACTCTGTGTGGCCCCAGTGTAGCCATTGCCTTGAAACACAAAAGAAAATTAAGTTAGTCAGCAAGTGTAGTCTTTTTCTTAACCGCCAGCTTTAATCGTGAAGTTATGTGAAGTGTAGCTCACGTTACTTGCTTTTACATGCAAAAAACCACAATCAGAACAAATCTAAAATAAAAGTGTGCTCAATGGTGACCCATTAACTAAATAAAACAGTATTTTGAGGGTGAAAAAAACCCCACCTTCTTTAGTTAAGTTTTGATTTCAAATAAGAGGTTTTCTAAATTAAACCCTCAAAATTGCTGTTATGTAATTCTGTCAAGAAAATACAAAATTACATTAACTCATTCTGAAAAACAAAATGAACAACCTACTCTCCTGATTTATATGTTATAAGCTCACAAATTTTCTCTCACATGACCTATCGATCATAAGTATTAAAGTAGGTTTAAAAACAACCTCTAAGAGTTTTTTGTAGTTGTTTGGGGTTTTGTTGGCTTTTGGGGGTTTTTTTAATTATTTCCAGAAAAGGCAAAATCTCCAGTAGATCCTGGGTTTGTTGCTATTGCATAAAATCATGTTACGCTACAGGAAAGAAACTGAGGGAAAGCTATTTTGCGACTGTTGCAATAGGAAGAGGAAAGTCAGACAAGTTTTCACATAGCATCACATTTTACTTCTTGTTTAGGAAATACGTACAAGTATAAAGCAGGATGGAAACTGACTCAAAGCCATTTCCCACCAAGTTTTTCAACTCAAGTAACCTCTTTGCTACTCTGTAAGCTGGGAAGTAGAAGGGTACTAGGGGAGATTGACTGCAGGTGCAAGGAAAGGATAGAGTTTCATTACAGCAAGTTACTTTAACAACATGACAAAGATCTGAAAAAGGCACTCTGTACTTAAAAGCTGGATTGTTTTTTTTCAAATACATCAATTGGTCAAACAAATTTCTCTTCCTGTAAGCCTGGATTCTTTTATAATCTGTGAAAAACACATCATTTCACTTTATACAGAAAAGAAAAGGTATAAGGAGAGGTCGAAGCACAGAAATCCTCAAAAATAAACTATTTACTATGTGAAAACATACCATATGACGTATATTAAAAAAAAAAAAAAAGTAAAACAAAATCCAATCAAACTATCCTATCATAGTTTCTACCCAATTATGTTAGACTATGAGAAAGCACATCCTCTTGACACAGGCTTTAGGCTCACTTTATCATGGAAAATTACGGATTACCCATTTTAAAGATAATCACTTCCACCACTTTATTGGATTCCTCTACCCCATGATTTGGGTAGAAAGAGAAAAAAGTAGCAATAACATAGCTTGAACTGGAATGATCAGTTGACTACTGAAGAAACAAAAATCTATTTAGAGTTTTGATCATGTAAGAAACACATTTACATATTTTTAAGAGGCAAAAGGACTAGATAAGAACCCAAAACAAAACCCACAGCCACTAGCATTCATCCTTTCGTCTTACCTTCCTTATTGTTGTCCAGTCTTCAAGTATATCAAGGTCTTGTAACATATAAACTATATAGGGGCGTGGAAAAGTTAGGGAAAACTCTTTTAAAACAGTAATAATATAAATACTCCAATGATTGTAGAAAGATATTACTAGCTTTGTTCTGCCAATCTTTCACACAAAGAATACTGACATGAAGTGAAAGTTCAGCAAAAATAAATGCATCTTTGCACTATGCAACCTAGAAATACACTTTAAAAAATATTAAAAGATGTAAGCAATAGCATGTAAATATCCAGACTACTGGAGTTCAACACAAGGATATGACAAACATTTGTTATACAACCATTCCATCCCTAACAGTTCCAAAAATCATTCTATTTTCAATACTACAAATTATAATTAAAATTCACTGCAATTTCAATTTACCACTGCACTCCAGCATCTACACTAGTATTGGCTTTAATAAAATAATTATTTTTACAGTATTCTGCATCATATTTCTTTGACATAAAAGTGTATATAGTACCACATCTCTGAATATCAAATATCCAAAAACCAGGAAGTAGAAAGGCAAAGCCCCTTCCTTGAATTATCAACTGTAAAGTAAAAATTGTGTCTTAGAACAATAAGTGAACTTCAAAACAAAACTCCACATAGCACAACTATTCCATTACAACAGTCCTCAGTTTTTACTTTGTTTCTCCCCATTTCATCTCTGAAAAACAAGTTTAGAAAAAGGTGCTATGAATGTTTAAAAACATAATGTCCTAAAATGGGATACAAGAGCTGTAACATACATTCCTTTTGAAATTTTAAGAATCTTTAGCCATTTTCAAGTTTGTTTTCCTCTAAATAGTAAAGAATTACAAACCAAAAGCCGAGTAAGATTTCTAGGTATTTGCTTTACACAGATCTGTACAAACTGACAAGTTCACAACTATTTTACAATCATAAGCAAAAAGAGCAAACTAACTTACTTCACAACTGCCAGAACTTTCAGCCTTATCAACTGCCTGAAATTGCTGGTGGTTTAGACCCAGTACTACATTAGCATTTTCTGTTTGGAATGTATACTAAAATGGCAAGGTAGCTCCTAACTCACAGATTCCCATGCTATTTATAGGGACTTCCTGAAGACAACGATGACTGAGAGCTAAAGAAAATGCACTTTCACACAACCTGGCACTGAAATTGCTAAAAGGAGTTAAGGAACTAATGAAGCCACTTGTACCCGCATTGATTAAAACCGCTTGGCTTTCAAGCACTAGTTAAAAAAAAAAAACCCACCTCTGCTAAACTGAATTTATGACACATCCTAATGGAAGAACAGTCATTATTAGGACAAATCATCCATCTGGGATGTGTTCCAGCATATCAACCATCCTGAAAGAGGGTGTCCCAATGATGACCATTTTTTCAGAAACTTCTACCTTCTCCTAAAGCCACAAAACTTTGTCAAAGCAGCAGGATTTTTTTGCAGCAGCTTAGCAATAAAAACCAGCCTTTGTACCATAAACTGTCAATACTTAGAAGCTCATCTCTGTTAGGCAGTTTCCATGATTCTGGCAACTTCTAATCATCACATCTCTCTCCTATAGAAATGTTAGGCTAGGAGTAGGAATAGAAAGAACACCCAGTTTGCAAAGACATCTCCTTCTTTTTCTGGAGAAAGATGATACTGTCTCTTAGGTGTTGTACCTTAAAAAAGTTTCAGCTGCACTGCATGCTTGTCAACAGCTATGAAGTCACCAGTGCAAAATTCTTAAATACTATACTCACTCTACAGGAACCCCAAACCCACAAACACCCCCTGCCCCATCCTGTCTCAATTCTTCAAATTTCGAACTCTTAATCAAAGAGGGTTCTAAAGTCTATGGAATTGTTGAGAAATAGTAACATGAGGTAAAGATGTCCCTGTATGAGAAACACAGCTATACAGAAGAAATTACACTAGTCAAGTTACAATTTGCAAACAAAATGCCTTTCTTCTATTTTTGCCTTGTAGCTCTATTTTTTAAAGAGTTAGAAAAATCAAATTTTAGAAATATTTTCTACATGAAAATAGAAGTTAGATAAGAGAATCTTAATTTCAATTTTCATAATGGGATGTGTCAACATGGTTTCTCTAATCTGAATTAGAATAACATCTGCCATGCAAAAGAAATTTGAGAATGCATTATCACTTCAACTTGTTATTAGTGACATATGTAACGACAGCTATAAAACAGTAAACACTACAAGAAAGAAAAATGATTTCTGTAAAAGGATATCTGATACAACAACAGGTTTCTTCTTATCTGGACTAAATGGATCCTTCCTTTTCTTCCTGGACTGTAACTCATCATTCCATAATTCTGAAAAGACATAATAAGAACATGCTATGAATCCAAAACATTTACATGTTTAGCTCTTTTTACAGCAGAAAATATTGTCCAAAACCAAAAAATAACACATCTTCTGGTGAGATGCTGCTTCCGAACAGAATTAAGGTGCTACATGATTATGTAGCCATAGATTAATACTCTCAAAACACACAAGGGGTACTGACAATTACCAGACCGAAGTTTGTTTTAAGCTTAAATTCAACCCTGCACCCAAAGTTTACAGCTGAATAGTATTCTACTGGATAACCCGAATCTCACCAGACATGCTATGCGTACAGTCAACTAAACAGTAGCTACCAGAAGATTAAAAAAATAAATAAAATAAAAAGCAACACCAAACAAACAAAACTCCAACAACTTCGAATTTCCATCCACCTGAGGTAATGTCAATGCTATGCCTGTCTTCTTCAAGTCTTCTAATCTTCTCTTCTAGTTCACTTTGTACAGTATCATACAACAGAAGCTTTTCACTCTGAAAAAGCAAGAAATTACACATTTTTACATGACTAAGTTCTATCATCTAAATACATATGACAACAATTTAAAGCCTCATCAGAGGGAAGGTAAGAGTAGGTTTAGGTGAAAATTTTTCAGAAGCCATAAAGCATATGATATTTCCCTCTATTCACTTTCTTAGCATGAGATCCTAGCTCCTTAAAGACAGCACACTCATTTGGTGTAAGTGTAAATATAGTTATCAAATATCAGTACCAAGAACAGCTAAGTATATAAAAGCATGAGGCTAGATCTCCAGAATAACTGTTTGTATTTTGACACAAATACAGCATTTTCCTTTTGGATAGCAAAGATTTATTCACAATGAATAACTGTAAAGCAGTGACCTCTATGCCGTCTTTCACTATAATTCAGAAAAGCTAATGTTTTAATGGAAAGCTTTTTATTAAGCTGCCTCCAATATTAATAAACCTGCAGTCATTTATAGAGCATTATCATCTATTACCACAGTATTTATAATTGTCTATTTTCATAGATCTGAAAAATACCTTCCCACAGAATAAAAAAATTTATTGAGCACATAAAATTAACTAGATAGTTGTGAAAGCAAAACTGTCTACCTTAAAGCTGTGAGAAACACTTTTAAAGCACTGCTTCAGAAAAGTTAGCTAGTTTGTCCTTTTAAAAGGCAATTACTGATCCAAATAGATTAACATAATGCCTTCAATGTCAGGTCAATGTCAGACAAACAAAAACACCCAGATGCGAACTTTCTACAGCATTCTGTGCAGTCTACACTATCTTCCTCTCTAAGTGTTTCAGAACAAGAAAATCAACTCTGTAGTAAACTGCTCTCAACTAACAGTCCACCGCACAAGACCGATACCAAAATTACATAGTATCTATATAGATCAGCTACCCTTTTAAAGCATGATGGATGCACTCAACCCCCCTTAACCAAATCAGCTAAACAACTATTTCTTAACATTGAGAGGCGTCTCTGCTCAAGGGGAGAGTTGCCTACTGTGCAGTCCAGTCGCCATCCAGGGAGAATTCCAGTTTGGCTCATCCAGCAATCGGTCATTGGTAAAAGATCTCATTGCTTCAAGGAGCAACCACGAGAGGCGTCCCAACTCAAGAGGAAATCACCACCCTGCAGCCATGCTGCCTAGCAGGGAGAGCTCAAAGAAGGCTCACTTAGGCTGTCGTATCATATTTACGGGATAAAGCAGTTGGCTCAATAGTCAAATTGCATACAATGGGAGAGGCATGCACAAGGCTTCTTGTACCCACAACCTTCTTTGTTCACTCTGCTCCTCTGTGGGTTCCCTAGAGGAGTTCTTGGCCTGGCTGCAGCTCAGGCCTTTACCTCCTTTGGAGCCTGTACCAAACTGTTGGTTTCGTTAAGGGGGGTTGAGTGCATCCATCATATTAAGACAATATCCAAAACCACTAAACTGTCTAAACCAGTAACTTGGAATTAAGCTCAATTCCAAGCCTCAAGGAAACAGAGTAGAAAATACAGCCGATTGTTACATTTTAAAGTCAATTTTCACTAAGCAACATCTTTAATAACTCTGGAAAACAGAAGGCTTGGACTTGCTGAAAGAAAACAGCTTAGGGAATCACTGCATCTAGCTATTTGCTACCATGTCTCTGACAGAAGCTGCAGTCCCTACAGCCAAGTCAGCAGATGCCTGCATCTCAACTGCTCCTACCCATAGCATAGGCATACTAACAGAAACTTAACTTTACCAATGTTCAAGCTAGTATGCTGTAGTGAAGCAAAATAGTTGAGGAATAGACGAAAACAAAGAACCCCATTCTACTAAATGGTTATCATGTTTACCATTCCCTTCAAATTAGAAAGTATTTAAATTCAAAAGACCTCCTTTTATATATTTTTCAACTCCTAATTATAAAAAAGAAATTCCTAGCAGAATTGAAAAGGCAGAAGCCTCTTACACATACCTGAAATGACAAATGAGCGTTATCTGTTCCGAGACCATTTTAAAATTCCATTTTAAAACGAAATAGTGTTTGTGTTTAGACACCTGTTTTGCTTCAAGCTCTTGATGACAAACAGGTGAAAAGCTGCTTACAGGGATCAGAGGCATTCTTGCTGAATGGTTATATTCCAGTGGAACAGTGATTCTACAAGCAGCACTGCTGACTTTAAAAGAGCTTTTCCCCCAAGAGACCTTTATTGGATGGTGAATATTTGAATTCTGAATGTTTCACAGTAGAAATATAAGAGCAAAAAAAGAGACAAGGACCTCCATAAAGAAGAATAATGTATCGTCCAAGCAAATCATTCAATCATGGATAAGAAACCCTACAAGTCTTACAGGATTCTGTTCAACCTCAGGAATATTCACAGGAGGAAGACAGTCAGTGATGAGTAGTCCTTCCTTATACCTTGTTCTTTTCCAAGGCATCAAGAAAATGGAAGGTTTTTTACAAGTATGCATGCCCATTCTCACTTTATTGGTATAGTGGGAGCTATGGACCTCAGGAAGATTGTGAGCCACTCAGAAGAAAACACCTTTAAGCAACTGTAGCAGCAGGATGAGGAGTACTATGATGCAAACCTTGGGATCTAAGCAGCTGTGTTACAGCACTAGACATACATGTACTTGAGTATTTATACTACGGTATCCGGTATGTAGACGCTCAAACAGGAATGTTTATGTTCAAGGAGAGAAATATGTTTTTCCTGTAACTTCACTTAAAATGACAAATCTATCACCAGCTGTTCAAGGCATCTTACAAAAGACATCATTATTACTACTACTGTTGTTGAAATGTAAGATGCTTTTTGCTAAAATTATGTTAGATATCTTAGTTACTGTTCTTGGTAATCTTTTTTGTAACAAAGGTAAAAAAAATCATGTGGGAATCTATTAATAAGAACCTGCTAATGAAAAAATAAGAAACCTTAGCTATACTTACATGCAAAGCCAAACTAATATAAAGCAAATTTTTATATGCTTTGAACAACCTCTTACATGGGCTTAAATATCACAAGGCAACTGCATTCAAATAGCAAATAACAGCAATAATAAAAACATGCACTGAACTTGGAAAGCATGACACACAGTAAAGTTAGATGAGATTAGCTGGCACAACCTCACAGTGCTGTCGAGAGGCTTGAATTTCACATTCATACTTGTTCTTCACAGATTCCAGACAAAGCTCTCTATAGATACCTGTAATCAGACAAATTACAGCAATATTAATTTCTTTGCTAATATCTGATTTCAGAATTCTCTTTTAAGGCTGCCTGCAGGTCCCAAAACTTGTACACACTGGAAAACAGAGATATATTATATTAGGCACTTTCAGCAGCTAACTGCTTTACGAGTAAAAATAAGAACAGTATGTCTGAAGATCTGAGGAAAAATAAATGCTGTTTTAATTTTTCCCCCTATCAGTCAACAAATTACACCAGCAGTCATGCTAACTTTACAGAACAGGTCTATTTCATCTTTCTGATCAAATTATCCTGGATATCCTGTTTTCAAATCCGTAAAGTACTAAATGGCCTCTTCTGTTTTCTAATTAGAGTTTTAAATAATGTGTTTTGGGGTTTTTAAATAGCTAGAAAATTGAATGAAAAAACAGGCTTTTACAAATCAACATTTGGAGTAAGGCTTATTTTATAATGCATGACCTTAATAAATCACATTAACTAACAAGGCTCTGTTCCATTCTTTGAAACAGCCACCTTGCGATACAAAGGATACTGCCTCTGAGTACTAGTAGCATTTCTTAGACATTTCTGAAAATGTGTCCACTAAACAGACAGCTGAAAAAATCTGAAAGGTATCTGAAATGTACTATCTGGCAAGTATAGATAGAATTTGATTCAATATATTCAACGCATGCAACATAAAATACTTAAATTGTTCCAGATTATCATCTTGAGGAGTTAAGTTTGCACACATGCTGGTGCTGTCTAGCAACAGAAGAACTCCCAAAACCAACTTCCCTTAGAATTCAGTTGACTATAAATTAATCCAGTACAAGAGGAATAACACTATTACCGGTAACTCCTCTTAAAAACAAACTGTAAAGTATTATGTCAATCGTCCTTCCACTGTGAAGCCACTTTTGATCTAGAATTCAAAGTGTTCTTTTCTCACATCAGTATGCTATGCTTTTTTTAAAAAAAAATATTTATGGCTGACTGGCATATCTAGGTCTACCAATTTATAATCACTACTTATTTGCCTGAAATTGAGCAGTACAGGTATGAAAACTTCTAGAAAAAACAGTTGCATTCCTGACTTGCTGAAACAGTCAAGATCCACACTTTGTATGAACAGCGCTCAGTGCCTTAGAGAGCAGAGGAACACAAGTTTCTTTTCTACCACAGATGCAATTATATCCATAGTTTAGCTTTTTTTTTTTTCCCCCCACGTCTTCCTCTCCTCTCAGGTAGAAGTAGGTCCTTAGGTGTTACCTGCTGGAGCTCAAGTCCTGCTACTACCCACATCTGTCCAGTCTCTCAAACAGAAAGAGCAAATAAGCTTATTCTGCAGTTTCTTGCTTTCTCTCAAAAAATTTGATCAATCTCATGCAGTTGAGGACAAAGGGGGGGAAAAAAAAAACCACCAAACTCAAAATAAAACAACCCTGATTTCTAGTCTCAACTTCAAACAAACTTTGTAGTTTTTACCCTAGGCTCTTTTTACATTGGAACATGGATCTTCAGTGCTGCTGAAGACAAATCAGGAGAATCTGTAATATTCTACCTATCCATGCCCACCCACATGAAAGCACCAACAGCCACGTTTAAAACTGAAAATCAAAAGCTTGGATTAAGGTTGCTTTTATATCAAACCTTCTGCAAGTTCACCTGCAACCTTCTGCAAAGCCCAAGTGGGCTACTTAGGACTAGTAAAGCAAATTTGGGTTAAGAACTTAAAACCCAGAAATGCTGGGTCACCAGCTAACAGAAAGAATTATGGAAAAGAATAGGAGGGAGAGAAATGCAACAGACCAAAAGATTTCAAATCCTCTTCATAGCTTGAAACGAAAAATACCAATGAAGACATAGTAAGTAGCACTGAAGTTGTACTAGTATTATGAAAACTATAAGCAGACTTGACATTTTCCAGTTTGCCTGCACCATGCATCTGCTGAATTTCTTAGAAAAGGCACTGGCATAGCTCCTCTGGATAGAGAAACTGCAAATGTCTGCCTTTTGGCTCTCTGCCTTTTGGCTGTCTGGGTTACCCTTAGACAGCTAAGTTAGTCCTAAAGGAGTGAGCTATAACATTAAAAGAATTTACAACAGGGAAGCACAGAATGTTGTCCTCCTATAATATCGCCGTTCCATATGACTATATGGTGGTATCTCGAAGAAGATAAAAGTTCTTGCCTGCTTCTATGAGCATAAAAGCCTATTTAAACATTAGTTTTAATAATTAAAATGCAGCTTGGATAAAAGCTGCTAAGGACAAGAGCTTTCCCCCTTCCCCTGACGGAACAGGAGGATGGGAACAGAGTATAAGAAACACAGACTAGAAGAGCAGGAAAAACATGATCATCTAAGATGATCTGGCAAGCACCTCTGAGACAGCACCTACATCTCTCTTCATTTCAACAGTGACCAGTGTGCAGACTTGATCCCAAATCTTCTGACTAATAAAAAACCAGTAATATTCATTTTACATGCCTACCTGCCACCTTGGTTCGGATTTGCATATTTTCTTGTAAAGCTGCCAACGGTTCTAAATACTCAGGCGCTTTTCCAGCTATGACCTCTTGTAGTTTTGCATCCACTTGGCTTAATCTTTCTTTGTAAAGCCTTAAAATAATAGAAATAAAAAATACTATCTTATTTAAAAGCAAACACAAGAAGAAATGTTTTTAAAAGAACTATCCTGCATCTCTTTGTTAATGTTATGGAATATTCACTGAAATAAAATTAAGATTTGTTACCATTTGAATTTCCAATACATATTTTATTTTTGAACAATATTCTTCATTTCTATTAAGCCTTCCTGGAAAACACACACAGACAATCAGAAGTATAGAAAGTAAAGATAAAATTATATGTATCTCCACCTCTAAGGAAGAAGAAAAAAAAAATTTGCACGGCTGTTAAAAGGATTAAGAAGTAGGAGGTGAGTCAACATGGAAGAGGACAAGAAAGGATGGTACAATAAAAAAAGAACAATATGGCTTATATCATGGGAAAGGTAGACATTTTGTGGATAGAAACGCCCATTCACTTTCATGTTCACATATCTGCTTCCACTCTACCATAAACGAAAGGAAAAGAGAGGCAGGCTCTTATTGAAACAACCTTTATTTAATCTCCTGTGAAAATCCACATTCTGCACACAATCACGAATACCACGGGGTAATTTGTAACTGACATCTTCCATTCCTGCCAAAAGAAAGTGTATTTAAAATATTTTTATTTTACCTAAAATTCGTTCCTTCTATAAAAGCTGATATTTACTGGCAGACAATGAAGACTTGAAATCTGCTTGCATTTTAAAGAATTTAATGTAATATCGATTACAAGTATTTCAATCACAATAAAGCTCCACTTTTTGTAACTGCTAACTTAAATCTAGTGTTCAATGGCAGAATTATGAACATGACCAGCTTTTCCTGTTCTCACTTTTTACCTTGCACACCACAACAAAAGCTGTAGAATTAAGGCAAACATGCACAAACTCTGCTATATGTAGTAAGAACACATTAGATGTTCTCTGTTTACACAGATAAAAGTATCTTTGTTACACCTGTTTACACAGATACAACAGATGTCTTTGGGACAGGGACGCTGCTTTTTCACTTGTTTAAAGTGCATAGGTTAAGTAATGAATTAGACAAGAGAAAGTTAGTGTATACTGATACATCAAGAGCTCCCTGAGAAATACTGCCTGTTCATCTGCCACCAGCCTGCTCGTTTGACTTCGATGACAACTCTGTAGTTCAAGCACATGTACCAAATGTAGCAACAGTCAGTGACCACACCCCTCCTTCTTACCTGCAAACTGTTACAGTATGATACATACAACCTGTCCTGCGCTCAACTGACATAGCCCGCAGCTGATCAAAACCCAATTTGCTTGGCTCGATCCTTGACAAGCGTGCTATGCACACAGTGCTTAACGTAGAGCTACAGCAGAATTGTTTAGCTAAAACACGGGTGCACAGCGGCATGACTGGCTGGGTCACTAACACTTGATTACACAGTTCCAGCTCCATCAAAGCAAGCAGTTACAGACTGGGCGTTGCCAGCACTTGGTACCACGTAGCAGCTGATGGACTAAAACTGTCCATCCAGTACTTTTCAAACAGTGATTTGCCTAAAATGGGTAACTGCTATCAACCACTGTAAATCCTACTTATCTCACAGCATCCAAATTCAGTTCCCTGAAAAGGAAGAGGAGGCAGGCACAATCATTTCATCATCTCTGTTATTGGTTGTGACTAACATCCCATTGTTTATGCATCTTATGGATGAGAAAGATCTTGAGTAAATAAATGAAGAAATAAATAAAAATCACAAATTTCCCTAAAATCACAATTCCTTGGGTTTACTAAGGATTTTGATGCAATAGACCCACACCAGTCCTTCACAGCAACAACACTTCAAAACCATTCTTACAGCAAAATAGAAAATAAATACATAAATAAATAAATAAATACAAAAAAAAGTATTCTGGGGCAACTGCCTGAAAATATTTTCAGAACTCTCAATCCTTATTCTTCTCCAAAAGTAGCATCCACATATATGAAAGACAAGAAACACAAGCTGCACACAATATTCTCATAGAATGGATCTTCAAATGAGGCACTTAAAACATTAAAAATACTTACTGGTCTTTAAGGTCTGTAAACTGCTTTTCAAGATTGGACATTTCATCTAAACACTCCATTCTTCTTCTTTCACAGTCCTCATCATCCATTTCTAAGAATTAAAAAAAGGTAATTTATTTTGAACAACGTAATGTATAACCAAAGAAACTGGATATTTTGTTTCTAATGAATTTGCAGTAAAGCTGAATTTTAGCCATGAATAATTCTCTATGATATTATTATTATCTTATAGCAGAATATGAGAAATCACTTGCCGTGTAAACTACAAATTAAGAAACTTAGATCTAATTCTAGAAGAAACCCCACGAACAGCAATTTTTCTTCCTCAAAACAGGAAACAACATCACTGTAAGACCTCAAGAGGTTAAATTTCATGACTGATAATACAAGGTGCACCTAGGAATGCATAAAACAGAAAAACTAAACATTGTATATCACACAAGACAAAAAGTACAATTAAGCATGAAAATGTATTCTGAGTTAGTATGAGCAAAAGCTATCCCTGGAAAGCAAGCACAGTTCAATGTTACATTTGTCATATAAAATTCAATATTTTGTTTTATTAATAACCACTACAAAAAGAAGTAACACTTGATTTTGAAAACACGTTTCATCCCATTCAATTGGGAAAGTTCTTCGAGGCTGAAATATTAACGTAGAAATATCTGTAGCTCATCTTAAAACGACCATTTAAAATTACTGCCTTTCTAATGAAACAATTCTTAACCTGCAAAGTCTAGAATTTTGCAGAAACTTGATTTTAATGCTTTTATGCAGCAAAAGTAACTAACATTAACGTCTTTTCAGTTTTTGTTTTCATTTATATTCCTGAATTTTTTCTTAATTTACCTAGTAAACATAACCGTAAAGTATAACAAATACCCACTTTTGGGGCAAAAATTTTGCCACTTGCCATAGAGACATCTGCTGTTACTAAACACCAGTTGTTACCTCCACTACCTTTTCTTAGACTAGAAAACAGAAAAACTAAGCTACAAAATTCTTGATTCTTTCCAACCCTTCCTAGACAAAAAAAAAAAAAAAAAAAAAAAAAGGCTTTGTTAATCCACATTCAAAAGTTAGAAGTGTCCTGAAACTGCTTTATAACAGCGCTATCTCCAGGAATTAGCTCTCTATAGTTATAGTAGAGCCAACCAACTATCAACCAGTAGGAGAAGACATGCAGAAGAAAGGATGGCCATGCAGTTCAGAACTGGGACTGAACGGGTGCAAACAGGCCAGGTGTTTCAGAGAAGGGGATGTCCTAAGGAGGCCATATCCACCTCAGCAGTTACTCTGTCAAGAAAAATACTAACTTCTGACAGAAAGGCAAAGTAGGATCCTGATCCAAGCAGAGACAGCCTGGACTCACTCTTCTAAGACCATAAACAACTCCGAGCCTTCTGCTTCTTCCTCACTCACAATTTTCCAGCCTCCATGTTTGAGTGCTTTATGCTATCTCCTACACCAACTACAGAAAGCAGCATGCAAGTCATCATCCTTATTGCTTTGCAAAAGAGTATGGCAATTTGCAAAGGTGAAGAGGTGAAAGGAATAGCTTCAGGGCCAGGGTAGCTACTGGAGGATCTGATTAACTCGGATCTTCCACTCAGACCTCTCAATGTATGAAGTTTTTTGTACATAGCTTCTTCCTGAAATCATCACAAGCTTTTAAGACTAAAAACTATGCTAGCCCTCTCTGCCTGGATATGAAAACTAGCAGGCAGTGGAGCAGCTATTAATCTGTATTACAATGGTACCTACAAGTCCCAAACAAAGACCTACCACAGTTTGTCACATTACAGTTAGCACAAGCAAAAAAGACAGCACGTACAAAGTTTTAAAACATGACATAACCTGAAGTATTTGAAAGCAGAGCAAGAAAATGTAAAGGCAGAACTTCAAAAAAAATACACTGAATGCTTAACACACTGGGGAAGGTGAGGGAAGAGAGTTTCAGGCTGTTAAGAGATATTATTTTATTTTAAAATAGTGTTCTCAAAAATAAGATCCTGAATCCTAGAATAAGGCTGAAAATCAGATTAAAGAGCAAAGTTTTATTTAGCTGTCCGACATAATACTCAAGCCAAAATTGATTGAGCAACTTTCAACTTGGCCAGATTTAAGGAATTTGGCAGCCATATTACTCAAAGAGTTGTCTAAAGCATTTATGTGCTATAAAAGTAAAGCTGCTTTAAAATTTGAAGGCACCTCCCCATAAAACACGACAGGAACAAGCACTGGGATACTGATAGTTCTCCCACTTTATTCTCAAACTCAAATATGTGTTTCAGATGTGTTCAGCTATGCTTTTGGTTCTACGTATGTTCTAGTAAGGAATTCACTAAGAAACTTTTCTTTAAATTACCATGGATTTTACTGTTTGTGTATGTTTAGGGACTACAACTCAAAGAAAACAGATTAGAACTGTAACCCTGGCTGAGGATCAGTGCAACACCCACAGCTGGAGGTGAAGGGGACTGCTTCTCACATTTTAAACTCACGTTGCAAGGAAACTATAATGTGTTGGTATCTGAGGGCACAGCTGACTCTCTTGTAGATATTAAAATAACACATAGCTCCCTGAAATCTCCCCTCAGCTACGTATACACTCAAAAGTCTTTTACTTTCTGCCTAGAAGCCTACATTCTACCTATCATTCATACTGAACGGCAATTCACACGCTAAGTCATTCTTCAATTGTTTCACCTTTATTCTGCCTCTAGTAAGATTCATGAAACAAAGAAGATTTTCAGAGTCCTGAAATATCTTTACTTCTCCAGTTATGGAACATCTTCCCCGTGACCTTAAATAACATACAGATTTGGGAATATGCAGTACTGAAAAACTAAGGGGGTTACGGATCAAATCTCATGGCTTTCTAGTTGAAAATTTACATCACTGGAGGTGGAAGATTCCTCATTTCATAGTAAAACACTTGCTAACAGGCCCGTGCTGTCTCAACACTTCAGATTTCCTGCACTGCACAAAGTATTTAGGGTATTTTTAACCACTTTCAAAATCACATTTTCTACTATATTCAAGCACTCCAACTCAGTAACCAGGCCAGCCTGGTTTAAAGACAAAAAACCCTGTAGTAGTTAAAATGTAACAGTGCCTAAAATAGCTTTTTTTAATAAGCCGTGGCCTATATAAAGTGCTCTAAAAAACGGCCAAATTCTCATCCGGAATGATGAGCATAACTTGCGGCTTTTTTATTCATCCCTAATAAGATATTCTATACCCTGGTCAATAAAAAAAACCCTATTCTAAACACATAGTGTCAAAAGGAACGGGATACAAACAGCACCAGAAGGGCAAGTTACGCTTCTTCTAACCGCACCTTCTGTATCCTCAGGCATTTACTGGAAAAAAAAAAAAAAAAAGGCAGCTGAATGCAAGTAAAGCAAAGGACAAAATAATACATAAACAACAAAAACAAACCAAAAAATCCTTTCCTTCAAAATCTTTTTTTCTTATTATTACTAATTCTAATTAAGACATTTCTTGCAGTGCTAATCATCTTATGTCTGTAGGAGCAATATGCTTCCACCGAGTACGTTGATATTTGTCAAGACACTGAGACAAGCATGTAATTTCCTGTAATCATCGCTTTTTAAGTGCTCCCTTAAAAGCATTTCTTTGTGGAACGCAACAGAAATTATCTGGAGAGCTTTTTGTATTGTTTTAAAGAAACATTCACAGACTACATTCACTTAAAACACAATTCTTCCTTCCTCCCCCCTAATCCCAGAAGAAACCAAGACAAGGGCAAGACAACAGAATGATTTGCCTTCAATAAAAATCAACCAAAGTGTCTTTGAGAACATGTAAACGTCAAAGTTTTCTTTAAAAGTATCAATTAGCACAACTACAAATGGGAGCAAAGGCAAGTTTTGAAAAAGAGCAAACTTCAAAGCTGGGACTAAAAGAGACAACTCTCCACCAGAGGCAGGGAGTTGGAGGAGAGAAAGAATTAAGTTTACATCTATTACACCAAGCTTACTTTCTCACACAGAAAATGACATTTTTTTAGACATACAGATTAGCTAGAATAAGAGATGAAGACAAGGTATTCCCAGATGGAGTCTGGCTACAAGACAAACTGGAAGGCTAAGATGGGCTAAGGAAGTACTGGTTGTTGTTGCAGTGCTGCTCCTGGACCTCAACAAGGAGTCTTTCACAACCCTGTGTCTTACCCACCTACTGCCCAATGAGCTTGTATATTTCTCCCTTGCACTCTTTCTGTTTACCCCTGAAAGACATAACAAACTTCATATATCAGAATTTCTTGAAAAGCCATCTCCATTAATTTCTTATCCAAAATACAGTATTCCCTTTTTAGTCCATGTATAATTTTGATAATAAAAGCATTGAAGCATGCTTTCATAAGTCATATCTGAAAGGAACAGAGCAGGTTGCTGTGCAAACAAGGACACAATCAGATACACTTTTCCAACTTAAAATACGACTACCTCCAGCTGCTTGCCCTGGTACCCTCACTCAAGCTGACTTTTTTTCTGCACACCAGCACACATGGATGCTGCCTAGTTTAGGTTTAATCAAAACAGCCCAAGACAGTTTAAGCACATTTTTCTAGCCTTGTTTTTCAACAGAATGACTTTGAGAGAATGGGGGTAAGGAAAGACTGATCAGCCTTCCTCAGCAGCAGATCTGTAATTGTATCAATAACTCTCCACCTACAACAGCCCAACTGTTTATAAAAGCTGTGTGCACATTCAAGTTCCAGTACAGCATAGCTTTGAAGCCAGTCCCAGGACTGGTGCAGCTCATCAGGTCAGTTTGCAGCAGTTTTGGTGAACACTAACCAAGTTCTTTTGCTATTGAATTAAACCCAAAGCTTCGTTCCAGGTACTTGTCAAGTGTGTTCCAACACCTATGAAGAGCACAAGGTTCTGAAACAATGACTTGTCCTTCAAGCAGCTTCCAACCAAATATATCCAGTTCAGGCTACATAATCTGAAACAAACCCTAACTACTTTGGAGAGGCAGGGGCCTCTGCACTACCTACTCAGAACTACCTATTCTCTATTCTTATTTTGCCAAATCAGTTGCTAATAGAGACACAA